GTCCCAGGCTGGGGGGCCGGGCTGTGTGGGGAGCAGCCGGCCTGAGCCGAATGAAAAGGATGGGGAGGACTTGGTCCGCTCGCCAATAACGGGACGAAACACTCGGGACAAAAACTGCGTTCAAACCTGCAACACTCGGCACCTAGTAGCTGAGCAGGGGATACTGGATGGAAAGGGGTTGTAGCCGAAGTGGTCTGAGGCCCTTCGCAAGTGAGTGTGGCCTCGGGCCCCACTGCACCCTGGGTGTGCGTCGGGTGGCACAGACGACGGCCCTGACTCCATCAGGCCCCGAGGACGGCCCGGTTGCCTTTTCTGCAAGGTAAACGGTCTCACTGTATTAGAGTTCTCCAGCGAAACGGAACTAATGGATCTACCTTTCTACCATCTCTATCATTTTAGATCCCTGTACCTATTAGTTATTCTATCGTCCATCCATTATCTGTCGATCTATCCACCTACCTTCCTAACATTGCGCCAGCAGGCTGGATACTCAGGTAAGAGCTGTGCAGTCTTGAGAATTCCTTCTTCAGAAACCTCAGCCTTTGCTCGCAAGGCTGGCACCTGATTAGACGAGGCCCACCATGACATGGAGGGTCATCTGCTTTGCTTAAAGTAAATGCTGGTACGCAAATGATTTCTAAACACCATTTCCACAACCGTGAGAGTTCGGGATCTGTCTTCCGACCTCCAGTTCCCATGGAAGAGGCGAGTGGAAACGGGAGGGCGTTTCAAGCGCATGTGCGAGTAAGTCGACACGGTCTGTAGCCCCTTATCCAAGAATCTCGGGACCCTGTGTATTTCAGAATTCAGAATATTCCGGATTTCAGGAAGGTATGCAGTGTGAGTCCTGTGTATTACGTGGGGGTCGGTGTGGTTTGGGGCTGCACCTTAGAAGCCCACGGAAAACGTGAATACTCTGCACAGAGCGTGTGAGTCTGTGCGACCTGAGGCGCCCGATCGCTCTGCGGCAGCTTAGGTCAAGCTTTGCTGCTGTCGAAGAGGAAACGTGATTTCCCCGCCCTCCGGGTTCTCGGCCGAGATGCCCTGAAATGAGACGTTAACATGAACCTCAGAAACGATCTGAGGTTTAGCAGCACGTGGACTCCCTGCACACACGGGGGAGACCCGGGAACACGGGGCGAAGCTCCCGAGGTAGCCCATGTCACCGCCGGCAATACCATCTTCAGCCAAAGACAAAAGATGACATGGCAGAGGGGACGCCAGACGGGGACGTGGCCAGCAAGGCACAGTGACCAGGGCAGAGTTGTCATGCGGATGGAAGTCAGTGTCTTCGCCGCTGGCGAGAGTCTTGCGATTTAGAGTCACCCTTCTCTTCCTGGTACAGTGAGGGAGACACACCAACAGCGAGTCCCCCTGGAAACCTAAATGTCCCTTAGAAAAGCTTACGTCTACCGTTTTCGGAGCTTCTCCTCTGTCTGCTGTTACTTAAAAATAACCAGCTCAGAACGAGCCTTATGCCCAGGGGGTGGCAGACTCTGCTCCCCGTCGTTCCCACCTGTAAACTTCCCCAAGTGTCACTGTCCACTCACTTGTAAAGTAAGTTTTATCTCATGCGGCGTGGCCTGATTATTTACTTAAATGCAGCAAAAATAGTAATGGACCCCATAGGCTCTTTTTCAGTCTGCTTTGCTGGAACGTTCTGTAACAAGTCTTCAAATGGACTTTTAAAAAAGCCTCTCCCTGCCCTGCCCGCGCCCCCTGCCTGCCCGGCAGGCCCCTTGCAGCCAGCTCCTCCTGGTCTGTCCTCGGTGGAGCCTCCTCTGCCCCGAGCGCGTCGCCCACCCCTGCCTCCCACCATTCCCCAGGGCGCGCTCCGCCCTGACAGGCCTCATCTTTTCTGATTTCTTTGTGAATGAAAAGGGGCTATGCGATCAACCTGACAAACCGAAGTCCCACAAAAGACGAACATTTCCATCCTGGACAAGCGTGCGACCGAGAGCTGGCTGGACGTCCCCACGTGACAGAGACAGCAGCGCAGGCCCGGCCGCCTCCTGTCCCTGGTCTGTCGGGGGTCTCTCGGATGACACTCACCTCAACATTTGGGGACAGCGGGTACGAAACACAGTAGCTTGTTGTTGGGAGGCAAATCCCATGGGTCTCGCTTTTTTGCACCTTCTTGAGGACATTTGCACAGCACACGGCCATGAGAGATACACGCTGTGTCCCCTCAGGGCCAAGGGCAGCTCTAAATGAATGGGCCTTAGTAAATCAGGTGCCCAGCTGTGACATAGCCCACTGTCTGTGCATATGCTCCCTGGGCCCCTCTGTCACCCTGAGGCTTGTGGGGTGAGGAAAATCACTGCATACACGGGCCCAGGCTGTCTGTGGTGTGGGCTTGGCCCCGGGTCTCAGGTCCTGTCAGCTTCCAGGGGTCGGGGGCAGGCTTGCCCGTTAGCCTGAGGATGGCAAAGCCTCAGACACGGCACGGTCCTTGGCCTCGTCTTCCCTGAACGGAAAAGCCCACACAGGCCCAACACTGTAAGCAGATCTACGCTCTGCTTGATGCGGTGGGCTCAACAGAATGGATGTCACCTCCTGCCCCAGAAACTGCGAGTGTGTCAGGTTACACGAGGAGGCTAATGAGTTGACCGGACATAGTGGGGGTGACTCACGGCCCTGGCACGGCCCCAGTTCCGATGCTCCTGCGCGCACTGTGGGGCTTCAGGGCGAGGCCCTCGCTTTGCTGGGGCAGCACCGGGAAGAAGGTGGCAGAATGTGTGTCACCTGCTGCCACAGCACCTTAGGAAGCGACCGAAAGGGAAGGAGAAATCAGGTTGGAGAGCTGAAGACCAACGGCGTAGGCTCTCGTTTCATTTCTGTATAAAGAAAGGATGGCGGGCATGTGGGGTAGGTGGCAGCAGCGCGGTCCCCAACTACCACCCTGGCCCACCTGCTTCCGTCCCAACATGACCGTCCACGGTTTCCTGCCAGCGGCCGTGCCCCTACCCCGCCCCATCGTCCAGCCGGGCTCCGCACAGAGTGCGTGCACACGCATGCACATGTACAAACACACGCACACACACGTACACATGCATGCCCACGAACACAATGCACACATGCATGTACACATACATGCACACGTACACAGTGCATGCACGCACACACACGTATACATGCATGCCCATATAGGCACGCACAGTGCACACATGCATATGAACACAATGCATACATGCATGTCCACATATGCACACACACATGCACACGAACACAGTGCATGCATGCACACACACGTATGCACACACACACACGGCTCTTGGCTGGAGCGGGTGGCGATGCTGCCTGCCTCTTCCATGAAGATGCCATCTGGTGGCACCAGGGGCTGGCAGCAGCCCAAGGACAAGGTGTACGGGGCTGGTCTGCAGACTGTTATCAGTGACGACACAGAAAGTCCAAAGGTTATTGGTACACTAGAAAAATATCACGCTTCATAAAACCCATGTTTATTTAAAAAATCTATTCAGAAAGTCTGGAAAGCGTAATAAATATCTGTACAGTGACCGCCCGCCTCAACACAGAGCAGGAAGCAAACGTGAGACTGGCCAGCACCTCGGCCACTGTGGGCAGAGTGCTGAGTCGGAGTCGGGGGCCGGGGGCTGGGGGCCGGGCAGGACCGCGTGTGTCCGGCGAGGCCGGGCTCCTGCCGTGTGAACGCCTGAGCTCTGCAAGGCCACCTGGAGTCACCTCTGTCCTTCCCTCACCATGCGGCCCCTTTTCCATTCTAGGGTCTTTGTGAGTTGGGGGGAGGGGGTAAGGAGACCCCTATAAAAGAAACAAAGTGCACACCTGAGCATCTGCACTGGAGGGGACCAGGAAGCACAGCTGCGGTCCCGCCGGCTTTAAGGGACAATGCTGGCCGATGCTGAGGGCGGCCACCACCCAGAAGGCCGGGCAACTGTCCAGCGTCAGCATACACAGCCAGTTTAAACCACGGACAACCTACTCCTGGGACCGAAGTGACGTCTCGCTCTTGCCCAGTGTGACTTGGGGCGCTTCTGTGAACACGCTCATGCAGGCGGGGCGAGTCAGGTGTGTCTCTCAAGCAGGGAGATGGCGAGGTGGGGGGTGCGGGTGACACACCAATGGGCACTGTGAAGAACCGCCTGGCGGTGAGTGAGGCCGCCTCACATCTGGGGCCTGGGGGCGTGTCCCCGTGTGTGGGCAGGGCAGCCACCAGACTTCCTGTCATTTGCGCAGACCCCAGGAACCCTGGCTAAGCGAGGTGCCCGTGGGCCGTGAATGGTCGCGGCGCCCCCACGCACTCCGGCGGCGC